GGGTAAGGATACATTACATTCAGCTTGTTAAGGATACATTACATTCAGGCGGGTAAGGATGTATTACTTTCAGTATGTTAAGGATACATTATATTCAGTATGTTAAGAAAACATTACATTCAGCATGTTAAGGATATATAACATTCAGGCGGATAATGAAATATTACATTCAGGCGAGTAAGGATATATTATGTTCAGAATGTTAAGGATATATAACATTCAGGCGGGTAATTAAATATTACATTCAGCATGTTGAGAATATATCCTTAACATGCTGAATGTAATATTTCATTACCCGCCTGAATGTTATATATCCTTAACATGCTGAATGTAATGTATCCTTACTCGCCTGAATGTAATATATCCTTAACATGCTGAATGTAATGTATCCTTACTAGCCTCAATGTTATATATCAATAACATGCTGAATGTAATATTTCATTACCCGCCTGAATGTTATATATCCTTAACATGCTGAATGTAATGTATTCTTAACATACTGAATATAATGTATCCTTAACATACTGAAAGTAATACATCCTTACCCGCCTGAATGTAATGTATCCTTAACAAGCTGAATGTAATTTATCCTTACCCGCCAGAATGTAATATATCCTTAACATTCTGAATGTAATGCATCCTTACCCGCCTGAATGTAATGTTTCCTTGACGTACTGAATAGATGAATCCTTACCCGCCTGAATCTAATGTGTATCCTTAACATCCTGAATGTAATGTATCCTTCACATGCTCATTGTTATATAGTCCTTACCGGCCTGAATGTAATATATCCTTAACATGCTGAATGTAATATATCCTCACCCGCCTTAATGTAATATATCCTTAACATGTTGAATGTAATGTATTCTTACCCGCCTGAATGTAATGTATCCTTACCCGCCTGAATGTAATATATCCTTAAATGTTGAATGTAATGTATCCTTAACATTCTGAATGTAATGTATCCTTAACATACTGAATGTAATGTACCCTTAACATGCTGAATGTAATGTATCCTTAACATGCTGATTGTAATGTATCCTCGATATGCTGAATGTAATGTATCCTTAACGCGCTGAATGTAATATATCCTTACCCGCCTGAATGTAATATATCCTTAACATGCTGAATGTAATGTATCCTTCACATGCCCAATTTTATATAGTCCTTACCGTCCTGAATGTAATGTATCCTTACCCGCCTGAATGTAATATTTCATTACCCGCCTGAATGTTATATATCCTTAACATGCTGAATGTAATGTATTCTTAACATACTGAATATAATGTATCCTTAACATACTGAAAGTAATACATCCTTACCCGCCTGAATGTAATGCATCCTTAACAAGCTGAATGTAATGTATTCTTACCCTCCAGAATGTAATATATCCTTAACATTCTGAATGTAATGCATCCTTGCCCACCTGAATGTAATGTATCCTTAACGTACTGAATAGAATGAATCCTTACCCGCCTGAATCTAATGTATCCTTAACATCCTGAATGTAATGTATCCTTCACATGCTCAATGTTATATAGTCCTTACCGGCCTGAATGAAATATATCCTTAACATGCTGAATGTAATATATCCTTATCCGCCTGATTGGAATACATTCTTATCATGCTGAATGTAATATATCCTTACCATCCTGAATGTAATGTATCCTTATCATGCTGAAAGTAATATATCCTTACCCGCCTTAATGTAATATATCCTTAACATGTTGAATGTAATGTATCCTTACCCGCCTGAATGTAATGTATCCTTAACATACTGAATGTAATATATCCTTAAAATGTTGAATGTAATGTATCCTTAACATTCTGAATGTAATGTATCCTTAACATACTGAATGTAATGTACCCTTAACATGCTGAATGTAATGTATCCTTAACATGCTGATTGTAATGTATCCTCGATATGCTGAATGTAATGTATCCTTATCATGCTGAATGTAATGTATCCTTACCCGCCTGAATGTAATATATCCTTAAAATGTTGAATGTAATGTATCCTTAACATTCTGAATGTAATGTATCCTTAACATACTGAATGTAATGTACCCTTAACATGCTGAATGTAATGTATCCTTAACATGCTGATTGTAGTGTATCCTCGATATGCTGAATGTAATGTATCCTTATCATGCTGAAAGTAATATATCCTTACCCGCCTAAATGTAATATATCCTTAACATGTTGAATGTAATGTATCCTTACCCGCCTGAATGTAATGTATGCTTACCCGCCTGATTGTAATATATCCTGAAAATGTTGAATGTAATGTATCCTTAACATGCTGAATGTAATGTATCCTCGATATGCTGAATGTAATGTATCCTTAACATGTTGAATGTAATGTATCCTTACCCGCCTGAATGTAATATATCCTTAAAATGCTGAATGTAATGTATCCTTAACATGCTGAATGTTATATATCATTACTCGCCTGAATGTAATATATCCTTAACCCGCTGAATATAGTATATCCTTACTCGCCTGAATGTAATATATCCTTAACATGCTGAAACTAGTACATCCTTACTCGCCTGAATGTAATATATCCTTAACATGCTGAATGTAATATATCCTTAACATGTTAATGTAATGTATCCTTAACATGCTGAATGTAATGTATCCTTAAAATGTTGAATTTAATGTATCATTAACATGCTGAATGTAATGTATCCTTAACATGCTGAATGTAATGTATCCTTGATGTGTTGAATGTAATGTTTCCTTACCGACAAAAATGGAATTTATCCTTAACATGCTGAATGTTATATATTCTTACTCGCCTGAATGTAATGTATCCTAAACGCGCCGAATGTAATATATCATTACCCGCCTGAATGTTATATATCCTTAACAACCTGAATGTAATGTATTCTTAACATACTGAATAGAATGTATCCTTAACATGCTGAATGTCATATATACTTACCCGCCTGAATGTAATGCATCCTTAACATGCTGAATGTAATGTATCCTTACCCGCCTGAATGTAATGCATCCTTAACATGCTGAATGTAATATATCCTTACCCGCCTGAATGTAATGTATTCTTAACGTACTGAGTATAATGTATACTTAACATGCTGAATGTAATGTATCCTTACCCGCCTGAATGTAATGCATCCTTAACATGCTGTAATGTATCCTTAACATGCTAAATGTAATATATCCTTACTCGCCTGAATGGAATGTATCCTTGAAATGCTGAATGTAATGTATCCTTACCCGCCAGAATGTAATATATCCTTAACATTCTGAATGTAATACATCCTTACCCGCCTGAATGTAATGTATCCTTACCTGCCTGAATATAATGTATCCTTACCCGCCTGAATGTAATGTATCCTTAACATTCTGAATGTAATGTATCCTTACCTGCCTGAATATAATGTATCCTTACCCGCCTGAATGTAATGTATCCTTAACATGCTGAATGTGATGTTTCCTTACTCACCTGAATGTAATATATCTTTAACATGCTGAATGTAACATTTCTTCCCCGACTGAATGTAATGTATCCTTAACATGCCTAATGTAATATATCCAATTTGGACGTGTCACAAATACATCTTTACCAGTATAAATATAATATATCTCTTCCAGTATAAGCAAGACATACTAGTATCCTTACCCATAGACACATGACATATCGATACCAGCATAAATGCAGTATTTTATTACAAGTTTGAATTTGATATATGAGTACCAGCTTGAATGTAATATTTCAGTGGTATGAATGTAACATATGATTAAACAAACTTTTATTCAGGAAATATGAATTACATGCAAGGGATAGGTGAACAAATAACTAAATATCTGTCTACTTATAAGAGACAAAATCCTTTTCTTATTCATATCATATATCTGCTAAAATCAGATTCGATTGCGCGATTCCGACTATATCATGAGCATGTGTTTATGAATCACTATCAAATTGTGATGACACCAGGTGTGATGGTAACATTGGTGATGGTAATATCAAATAGCTTTCAAATAGCTGTCAATTACTATCAAATAGCGGTGATGCCGCTCTTCCCTTAAATAACACATGTAACTTCAACTTCACACACACAAACGTTTAACAAACAAAAGCTGATGTTTACCGTTATACTTCCCGTGGAGCTAGGCGCGAGTTGGCCCCGGTATATGTAACAACTACAGTCCTATTTAATCATTTACCTCGTTGTGTTCTGTAGAATTTGACGAATAGAACTAACAGTTTCTCAATGGATTTGTCATTTATACCGTAAGTTGAAAAGCCTTGATTAAAGTAAACCATAGAATAATTTGAACTAATGTACATTCGGGTACAAAAGAGAACAGATGATCTATCCGGGCCTTCTACAGCTTACGGTTGAAGCTGTGATACTGGTCTGGGAGAGATGTCGAAGCCAGTTTCATTATTCAAATAGGTAACTGCACGTTTATCCGGGCAATATTGTTCTCAGTCAATCGAGCTCTTGAGTTTCCAACATCTGTGACAATTCTGCAGACATATTATCCGATATTACGTCACAATAATCAGCTTGAAAGGAAACATCAGTACAATATGTCTACTGATATTTTCTACTCAATCTACATTTTAAACTTAAGGCAATTTACCATTGGGTTTACCTTTTTAAGTATTAATTCAGTATTTAGTCTGAAATGTTAACCCATGGTGTTTGTGGCTGGTTACCCCCAGAAGTTCCTCATTAGCCATGTAAAGTAGTGGTTGATGCTTATTATATCAGAACCAGTTTCAATGTCTTATGGCTTAACCAGTATAACATTGATATATCAGTTCCAGTTTGAACGTGATATACCTTTACCAGCCTGAATGTAATATATCTTTATCAGTATGAACGTGATGTATCAGTATATTTATAAATGTAATATATCACCTCCAGATGGAACATAATCAATGAGTACCAGCCTGAATATTTTATGGCACAATCAGTTTGATAAATGTTTCTGTTATGTTGAGAGACTTGTGAACTCACTTGTAGCCTCGGCGTTAGAGAAGTACAGGATTGCCGTGAGAAGGACAGCGTTGAAGAAGGCGATACATTGTGACGTCATCTTCACTGTGTTGCTGACTGACCAGTAACTGTGCAGGGGACAAGAGAGAAACGATGAGAGACACGAGGGTCGGGAACAATTAGACGTCAGTGAGAAGCATCGTCAGAGGATTGTCTGTTGGTGTCTAATTAAACAGAGTAAAGATATTCTCGATCTTCATGTTGGTGTCTAATTAAACAGAGTGAAGATATTCACGATCTTTAAGTTGGTGTTTAATTACACAGACTAAACTAAATCTCAAAGAACGTTATGATATATTAATTATTTTATTGATTTTTTATCTGTTTATTCATGGGATTATAAGACTTGTGCGATCACCTGTAAAACAACTGCATAAATTATTTTTTTTAAATCACACTAATTTGCACTATCAAACAAGACAAACGCTTCTTCGTCGGATGGATTTTCCTGAAAGCAAAATACGAAAACACATTTTATACAACACATTGTCTTCGCCCAGAAGTGTATAAACATCTACATAGCAACCAGACGTGCTCTGGTGTGTTATCACCCAATTTATATTTTTATCAAGGAACAATCGATCTGATATGCCAGGCATCCTTCAGGGTTGATGATGGTATCTATGACATTCTCAGAGGGTCCAGGTGACCTGCATTGTACGCCTGGTGATAGAGATGATAGCTTGTGCAAGGCGTTCTCGGAGCTCGCAGACAAACAGAACACTGGCTTTTCATTTCTCTCTTCACAGTCAAAGAAGGGGTCGTGAAAAGGTTATTGTTTGTTAATTAAATCACGTTTTAACGAATCATAAATTGTTTTTAACAGGTGATAGAGATAATCTAGATTTATCTTTCTTGTTAATCTAAGACTATCTGTACGTTAATCACGTTTATTCATCATGCAATGAATATAGATACTGTGACCAAAGTCTCGCTTGATATTATTATCAGCACGAGTCGATTAAAGCAGCAACACCTCAAGGTTTGTCGAAGTTGTTTATATTTTTATTGACAAGTTTTGATAAATTTGAGATTTTAATTACTATCCAATATCATACTAAGGCATTAAATAACGATGCAAATGTTTCCGTTTTGGTATCAAGTTAATGTTTAGGGTCATGAAACATATATGGAACATCGTGAGTCATGAGGAAATGTCGACATGCACTTATGAATTCGACTGAAACCCGCCAGTGATTTTGCTTTTAACAACGTCACAATTTTAAAGTGACCTCATGTCGTTCTATGATGCGCATAGATGGTGCGTGATGACGTCGTGTCAGCTTTATGTGGCTTAACACGGGCAGCATTAGTTCGCGAACTGGTTGGCAAATTCCAAAACGGATTCTGTCGTTGTGTTTTCACAGGACATATATGTGTGGTTGTTATCTGCTTGTACGTTGATCGGGTGACCTATTCGGCAGCCTGCCACTTGAGAGTTTCTTGCGCGTCTGTCCTGCCTACATTGAAGCACATGTAGCACATGTGGTGCCTCCAAGTGTCTTTGTTCGGTGTGTGCCTCTGTTCACCCAGTAGTGAATGGGTACCCGGTAGGTACCCGGTGACTGTTAACCTTCTAGTGTGGTTGGTGACCTATGACGTTCTCGTAAGAGCTTAGGTGTGGTGTGGTGACAGATCACGACAGAACAGAACTATTTTCAATCAAGGCTACATAGCATAGCACTCATTTGACAAATTACATATTGCTGAAATTTATCTATTATTTGACACCATAAATCTAGAAAGTTTGTTTAACAGAATAGTATTTCTAATTTTAAATAATTTTATAATATTGAACATAGAAGGCATCTTCAGGCAATATAATGGGAACAATTTCTTTCTTACACCTACAAAGTATTCACACATAAAAAATGTTTCGACTTATTATTTGTTTTAACCAAAAAAATAGTGATGCTCGTATCCAATATCGTTAGATTGGCAAAACACATTTTCTCTATCAAAGGCATATGGTGCCACCGACCAGGCTCAGGATTACTGGAAATAGGTTGTTTAAAAGTCTACATTGTATTACAGTAAAATACATTCATTGGTCAGATTTTGCAAATAGAATTCATTTTCAATAGTATCCTTGACTATCTAATAGAATTTGCCCTTTCATGAGGAATCCATGTCAGATCTCCAATTTTAAATATATAGGTCTTCACGATATTTTATTTTTATTTTCAATTTCAGGTCATTTGTTTTGTTTTTTCTATTTCACGAGAAGTCCAAATGTAATTATTACCTGTCTGGAAAAATAAAATTCAGCCTATTATTTTCTGGTTTACCGTTAAAATTTTGCACAAATGAAATAAGTAGAATTGTGTACATGAGACGAGAAAGTTTTGTTGGTTTTCTTTCACCAAACAGCATATATAGGGGTGTGCTTTTCTTTGCTTGAAGCAATTTTCTAATGAAAGTCAGGTAAACATTTTCAATCATTGTTAAGTCCCCAAATTCTGAAACATATGTTAAAATAGGAGTTACGATCACAATAGTTAGCTTCAGTTGGTAACTTATAAACAAGGTGTACAATCTGGCTTTTCATAGTATAAAGTTCATCGGTTTAGGGCATTTCCACATATGTTTTGTCAATGTACATCTTTCCACAAATATATTTATACTTTTCAAGATTCTGGAACCAGCGAACCCTAGCACAGTTGAGAGGCGCAACTCCATGCAGCGAATAGCGGCGTGTTTGATTCCATGCAGCCCGTGTCGTCCGGGCATGTATGAGCACATCCTAAGTCTAAATTGAGAAATTGTGCTAATGGCTACACCTAAACATTATGTAATATCTCAAGTGACATCATGTCGTGGTCATGGTCATGCTGCTGAACAAAGCGCCTCGGGAACAATCAGAGTCATGTGGTTGTATCCCAAGTAAAACAACAACATCTAACTTCCTTTGAGGCCAAGTTGCTTCAGATATATCGTGACATCATGGACCACGCCAAGATGACGTGACATCATGGCACCTACTAGGATACTGTAGAAAAGTTGGGAGGCAACAACATTATGGAAACAGACAACAAAGGAACGCCAGACCCGGATATAACCATTTAGAAAAACAAAGCGTCCGTGCAAACGACTTTGGGGGTTCAAACACTGAACGTATGCCTAAAACTGATATAGTCCTAAGAAACCAATGTTCCAGTGTAAGATTCGAACACACAAACAGCGGATCCGGGAACCACTATGAAACATCTCAGACCACAAGTCCGCCTAAGTTAAAACACAAACACGTGAATACTATATGTGTTAGAAATCTTAGGAGTTAGAAAAATCGATACACATATTGCTCATATTGCACGCTATGGACATTCAGTTTCCCCATGTCTAGACATTTTATTGACTGTTTGAACACGCTACCGTTATTTCCTAAGATATAATGAACATTCATGTTTGTCAGCATGAAACTGCAACCTTCCTTGTATTTTACATGGGTGGTGAACCCTGGCCTATGTGGGCGACGTCGTTCATTAGCTGTCTTTTACCCCATGTTCACATGGATCATGATTTTTTCACTCCTTATATGGAGGACAACAGGTGTCGGACAATACAAATCAAAACATGTGGATTCACATGTAAGTGTGGAGGTGCGTTATAAATAAAAGCGACAGAAACATTTCCATAATCTTAAGATATCAGAGTCCAATATACGATTCCGACTATATCATAAGCATGTGTTTCTAAATCACTTTCAAATCGTGATGGTACCAGGTGTTCGCAAAAAGGGGAGTGTATTCACTTGTCACAAACACATGCAAAGGCAAGTCAACCGATCACTTGAAAATCCCTGACGCTCGACTTCCTTTAAATGACACCCTCTGTTTCCGTTAGATACTATAGAATTCTTAAATATGGTAATTAGTGAAAACAAGTTTGCTATGATTTCATTTACTGCTCTGTAAAATGTGTACATCTCCATATGAAAAAAACATTATATTTGCTCGCGTTAATAAACAAAACAGAAACCGTTTGCATAATGGCTTCCACGTGAAAAGTAGTACTGGTTAATATTCAAACTCATACTCATTGATTCTGTGTTTCTATTTGTGTGAGCGTTTTATGATCTTTAATTTGGGAATTGTTTAATAACTGAATATTCACGTTCTTAGCTGTTTATACTCTCAACAATCTCAGTGCCCTTTGAAATGTCAAACAGCGCTGTTTGAATCTCGGTCCTTCAGTCGGTCACTCTCACCCCGAGTATCGCCACCAACGAATCAATACTGTTCGGTTTCCAGGATGCATGAGCAGAGCTTTTTTCTTGTCTCTAACGTTTTGAAAAAGAGAAATCAGTGCGATCACTAAAGAAGTTTAGTGTTTATTGTACCGCTCTATAATGACGTAGTGTAAATCAAGAGCTTGATTATGTCATTGACAACTTCAAAGGAAGGGCAAGGGCACCTTGAGAAAAGGACCTGATAATCTTGTTGCACAAACTGCGGTGTTCATTACAGACTGAAATGTACTATTATTATTCGTATTTCGGGCGTTATGTTACCAAACGCTGAAGTCTCCGCGTCAGGCTCACTATTTCAGTGTTTCCTGATTGTGTTGGCCGAGTGACCTATCGTGCTTTTGAGTGACTCATTCAATTTGCAACTGCTTTAAAAGGAGTCGGAGACTGAAGATCCAGGAATATAATCCCCGGGCCAAGTCACTGCATTTCGAGAATTGTTGACAATATGTTGATTTGCATGCGCATATGTATTACACTGGGTCTATATGCAACTGGATCTTACCATGCCAGTTATATATGTTAACCTGCTTCAAAATAGATGTAACTGTGTTATTTATCCAATTTGGTTTTCAGAAGCACATACTTAAAGCATAATCTTTTTTAGCTTTGCAGATGTATGTTTACTAACATTCTATGTTTTTTTCACCTTGAAATTTAAACAAATGCAAATTCGGCAGAGCTTTTTTCTGTAGTCACGCCATGGTGATGTGTCTGGTTATTTTCATTGCCAATGTTCAACAGTTGGAAAGAGAAACAACATTAACGGTGCTACGCTTTCTTTGCTTACCAATGTGAATTTAGACGGCATCAAGCTAAACT